TTTTTTTTTTTTTTTTTTTTTTTTTTTTTTTTACCCCATATTCACAGGAAGGAGTGATGGTAAGAGCATACACTCCTTCCTGATTCTAGCTGTCACAGCGTTGAGTGGAGCCACCACGCAAGGGTGCAAGTGAGACATGGAGTGCGACATGGAGTGGGACATGGAGTGGGACGTGGAGTGAGCCACCACGCGTCTTCTCTACACTGTCAAGAGGAGACGATTAAATTGAGGTCTATATTTAGAATTTACACTTCCTATTTTTCGCTAAGGAAAAAAAAAAAAAAAAAAAAAAACAATTGACAATGTGCGATTTGGTGTTTGGATCAGATGGGGGTTTGCTTACTGTCTGAACTCTGGAGTTTTTTTTGTTTTGTTTTGTTTTTGTTTTGTTGTTTGTTTTTATTTAACTCGGAACAGGGGCCAAGTCCCAATAGCAGCGTTGAGGTATCCTCAACGCCTGAATGTGGACGTGTTTGTGGAGACGTGCAGTTCACGAAACTCAACACCATTTCTGCACATCTCCGCAAAAGCGTCCAGATTCAGGCGTTGAGGTAGCTCAACGCTGGTAGTGAGACTTGTCCCCGGGCCCGGCGTCCCTTATATTACTATGTTATTTTTATTTTTTTTTATTTTTTTTTACTTTTTTAATAACTATGCTATTTTTTAACGTTTTAGTCTGGTGAGACTTTTTATTTTTATTTTTTTTTCCTGGAGTTGAGAAGAAGGGACAGGGACACTTGAGAGGGGGAAACAATTAGCCCCATCATAATGCACCTGGTCGTCTGCGCGCCCAGGTGCAGATCATGCACTTGGGCATCCGCACATCCAGGTGCTCTCCGCCAGGGGTGTTTTTCGAATTCTCAATATCTGCGCGGCGCATTTATTCCCTTTGCCGTACATATTTCAGCGGAACTTTTCTTCTTTTTTTTTGACGGTAAAGGAGGGAACCATTTGCTTCTTCTTTTTTTTTTTTTTTTTTTTTTTTTTTTTCCTCTTTTTTTTTTTTTTTTTTTTTTTTTTTTTTAGGGGAAAAAAAAAAAAAAGTACTTGTAGGATCACGCCAATCCAGACATTTTAACGGTAAAGGAGGGCATCGTTTGCTCCTCCGCTTTTTCCTTTTTTCTTTTTCCTTTTTCCTTTTTTTGTTTTTTTTTTTTTCTCTTTTCTTTTTTCTTTTCTTACCTACCGGCAAAGGAAGCCCCTGCCCCTTGATTCTAAAACTAAGTCTTCTGCATTAACCAAAAAAAA